AATGATCAAACACCTTTCCCTTCACCAGTACTCATTTTTCACTACCAAGAACCCCAATATACCCCCCCACCCCTCCCAATGCCTGTGAGGAAGATGATTTCCACTTAACTCTTCTCTACATTGATTGCATTCATCACTTCGACAATAGGTGCACCATTATTGTTTAGAATTTCCCCTCCCAACAATCAGAATTGCTGAAAAGGCATTGTGAAATACTTTGTTTTCTATAGCTGGTATGAGAATCATAATGTCTCGTGGCCACAAAAGCGGCCACGCAATTTTGAATTTCTGCAAAGAGCCAGATAATTACGAGATTGGTTTCTGTGCATCTGGTGTTATGGCTGTGCCAGAGAGCCACTCGTGGGGGGCAACTCGTGAGCTCGGTAGGGTGTAAAGGACGAGGCAGTACCGCCCCCCTTCCCATGAGACTGCAGTTGCCCCGTCAGCACCGGCCCATACCTGGCTTTCCTACAAGCTCTGAGGTGGCGGCCACCTTGCTGCTGGGGGGAAAATGGCGGAAGGGAGCAACACCCTTTCCCTACCGGGGAGGCATGGAGCCGGAGTTTAACGCATGGACCGTTCACTTTTCTGCTGCAAGCTGCCGGGCTCTGACTAAGTCCTTTTGCCTCTTGAGCCATGGCCATGCTGGAAAGCCGCTCGTGGGAAGCAACTCGTGACCTCGGTAGGGTGTGAAGGATGAGCCAGTATGATCCCCCTACCCATGAGTCTGCAGTTTCCCCGTCACCGCTATATACCAACATTTTAAATCTCACTCTTTTCACCGTAACCTAATTTAGATTATATGCTATTTTTAGCCTTATGCAGCTAATCCCTTAGTAGGTTTCCTTTGTTGAAAGGGTAAAATAGTACAGATCTTTATAGAAAAAAAAATCAAGCAGAATCTCTACCTGTTTTCTCTTCCCCATCCCATACCTCTCTCTAGTGGTAATCATATTGAATAATACATATTTAAGTAGCCTTCTACTCCTTGTTCTGTGTTCACTTACCCAAGTAACTCTCCTCATTAGTACAGTAGTAAAGAGAAGGACCACGAAGACCATAGTCACTGCACACTAGATTAGTAGTTTTGCTAAGGACTTGTTAGCAGTTATCTACCATGTAGTATCTGATATTATACCCTGATACCAAGCTCCTCTCCTTTTCTCTTCACCTTTCCTCAACAGTGACTCTCCAGTGATCGCATGTTTCTCACACATGTCCTACCATGTCTCGTCTTCTTTCTGCTCCAGTATTATTGAATAAGTAAGAGCTCAGCTGGTTTTATCTCCTTTCTGCCAGGAAATGCTGTCTTCATGTCTGCTCTATCTCTCACACATACACACACACACACACACACACACACACACACACACACACACACACATTTTTTTTTTTTGGTTGTTTTGGGCCACACCCAGCAGTGCTCAGAGTTACTCCTGACTTTGCACTCAGGAATTACTGCTGGCGGTGCTTGGGAGATCATCTGGGATGCTGGGGAATGAACCTGAGTTGGGTGCATGCAAGGCAAGCACCCTACCCTCAGTGCTATTGCTCTGGGCCCCTATATAATTTTTTGATTGTGTCCCTTTACCTTTTGAAATTTCCCTTCCCCTCTCAGAACATTAAAGCTTGCCTTTACTCTTTGTGGTCAAATGGCTGTATTTATTTGTGGAGTTGGGGCCATATCTGACTTTGCTTAGAGCTTACTCCTGACTCTGCTCAGGGGATACTTCAGTGGTGCTTAAGGATCACATGTGCCAGGGACCAAACTTGGGTTGACTGCGTGCAAAGCGAGCACCTTAACTGCTGTACTAGATAGTCCCCAGCCCCCAGGGGACTTTTATCCTGTGTTAATGATGGAACTACAACTGGGATCACCCCTTGTGAGAATTTGTTTAGCATATAACACTGCACCTGTGGCCTGTTACTAAATAATTATGTCACTGCCTGCACAGCAAAGCCTGGCAAGCTACTCGTGATGTATTAAATATGCCAAACACAGTAACAAACAAGTCTCGCGATGGAGACGTTACTGGGCTCACTCAAGCAAATTGATGAACAACAGGAGGACCGTGACCGTGACCGTGACCGTGTTTCTTGTTATATTTCTTTCATGTCATTTTTGTTTAAATGGAAAAAGCCACCCTACCCATGACAGGGTAAGACAGGCAGGTGTTCCCTCAGCCTGGTATTAAGCAGTATATCTTGTCTCTCTATCCTTCCCCCATTCCATAGCTCCAGCTGAGCAGTCTAGATCACTACTGCTACTTGGTCTGCATCCAAGTCAGTTTCTGGCACTAAGATTCTCATAAGCATATACTTAGTGAATAAATCAATAGGCTTTTAAGCCAGACCTACTAGTTGTGATTTCTTTTCTTTTCTTTTCTTTTTGGAGAGGTATTCACCCAGGTAATACTCAGGAGACCTGGGCTCCCTCCTGATGGTTCTCTGGGTCTGAGGTTCAGTTCAGCGACTGGAACTGATGCTTTTTAGGTCCTGTGAGAGCAGGGATTACCCCAGGCCACCCGATGATATTCAGGGCTTCCAAGGCCATATGTAGAGGTTTTTTAGGGGAGGCTTCTAGGGCCATACCCAGTGATTCTCTGGGATCATGTGCTAGGGATTGAGTCAGGTCAAGTATGTTCAAAACATGCATCTTAAACCCTGTATTGTTTCTCTCATCCTGGTATGATTGTTTTTTGTTGTTCTTTGTTTTTGAATATTGAATATACTCTCTGTAGCTTGCCGGGCTCTTTGAGGGGGCGGAGGAAATCGAATCAGGCTCGGCCCGGCTGGCTGCGCGCAAGGCAAATGCCCTACTGCTGTGCTATCGTTCCAGCCAAACACGGTAACAAGTCTCAAAATGGAGACAAGTCTCAAATGGAGACGTTACTGGGCCCGCTTGAGCAAATTGATGAACAATGGGAGGACAGACACAGTGGGGGTTTTTTTTTGTTTTGTTTTTAAGGATCATCATGGTTATTTATAGTACATAGGCATGAAAAGCATAACTTTTTGTTTGGGGCCACACCCTGCTGTACTCACAGCTTACTCCTGACTCTGTGCTCAAAGATCACTCCTAAGGGTGCTTGGGGCACCATATGTGGTGTTGAGGATTAAACCTGGGTTGAACCACACACAAGGCAGACCCTTACCTCCTGTTCTGTTTCTCTGCCCCTAACAATTATGAATTGTTAAGCTGTCAGTTATCATTTAACTCAGGTGTGTGTGTGTGTGTGTGTGTGTGTGTGTGTGTGTGTGTGTGTTTACCTGGAATTTAACTGAGTTTTGTATTTTTGGGAAGATGCAACCTGATAGCCAGAATATCTTGACACCAGAATTTGTTAAGCGTTGTCAAAGGTAGAGCTGTAACATTATTAGACCATTTTGGGCACAAGAAAGGAAGCATCTTTTGTTACTGACATCCTTTTTTCCAAACATTACTCCTGCTATTTCACTCGCTTATTGTCTGCAGTTGGCTGTGTGGTGTCCACAGGGGATTTTACCCACTCTTATCAGTGGAATGCCATGCGCATCACTTCCTTTCATTATCTTTGTCAAGAACACCCTAATGGTGCAGATGGTGGTCTGCCTGGAACAGGTTCATTAATTTAACATGCTTAAAATATCAGAGAAGGCAGTAGGAATTATAAAACCATAAGCTGTTCTTTGTTTTGATAAACTTTGAAATTCTTTAACTCTGTTCAGCATTCCCAGATTTAAAAAGATAATAATTGAAAAAGATAATTTAAAAAGATTTAATAAGAAAATTTTTAAATAGATTCAAAAAATATTTTTTTCTGGTAGTTATATATGTTATTTATTTGAGGATTTTGTGCATCTTGTATTGTGAGAACATTTAATAAAATATGCATTTAATAGTGTGACTTGAATATGATTATAATTTTGGGGTGTTTTTTTGGTTTGTTTGTTTTGCAAAGCTACCCGTGACATATTCATTATGCCAAAAACACAGTAACAACAAGTCTCACAATGGAGACGTTACTGGACCCGCTCAAACAAATCAATAAGCAATGGGAGGACAGTGACAGTGACCCACTGGTACTCAGGGATTACTCCTGACTCTGCACTCACTCATTAATTACTCCTGGCGGTGCTCGGGTATGGGATGCTGGGGATCAAACCTGAGTCAGCTGCATGCAGAGCAAGTGCTTTAAGCACTATCTCTCTGGCCCCAACTATTGCATGCCCTGTAAGTCTGTGACACATTTTAAAGAAAATAATAACCTTAGAGAAGGACTTGATCTCTTTAAAACTTTTGTTCTGGTCAGGATGCACTGTATTCATAATTTGTATATAACATAATAGTATGTTACAGTGGGTTACAAAAACAAGTCTTTTAGAATCAAACCTCAGAAGGTCATTTGGATCTTAGTAATCTGCCCAAAGGAAATAAGTCTTGAGACTTGTTTTGGAGAGCACATAGGGGGTAGAGCAGCTTGTTTTTGGTTGTCTTTTGGCACTTCCAGTGAATTATTTGTTTATATTATGAGGAAGGAAGTGAGTGGTCATGGAGCTTTAAAATTTCTCTTCCTTGACCTAGGATTTTTTGTTGGTTTATAATGCTTTTCTGCTTGCATTTATTTATTTAGGGCCTTCCAAACAGTGCTCAGGAGACTTAGCACTGCTTTGTAGGCCCAGGGCCATTTCTGGAGATACTCAGCCAATCAGGGCAGCAATTAAATGCTAGTGCTACTGGGCCCCTGTGGTATCAGTGACCATCAAGGCCACACCTGGCGTGCTGGGGCACCTAAAAACTACCTCTAATGATGCTGGGGGGTGGGGACAGGGGGAATTCAGTGATGCCAGGGATCGAACTCGGATTAGGTGTCTGCAAAGCAAGTATCACGGAGCTAGACATCTGTACTCTCTCTGGCCTTTTCTGCTCTTATTACCAAAAGCCCAACCTTTCTGTTATATTGATTTAAGTGTATGTAAATTATGTTCATTTTCATTAGGGATATTATTTTATCTTTCAGGACTTGAACCAATGAAAGACGCCTATGGCACTTTTGAAGATAGAGGTCGCCCCTCTTCTTTTAATTGGAACTTCTGCGTAGGACCGCATGTGACTTCGTCTGTGACTTGTTCTTCCAATAGCCATTGACTTTGAGTTGCAGAAAGGTCTCTGAAGATCCATATCAAATGACGTCAATGGCCAGCTTGTTTTCGTTTACTAGTCCAGCAGTGAAGCGATTGTTGGGCTGGAAGCAAGGTGATGAGGAGGAGAAATGGGCAGAAAAGGCGGTTGATGCTCTGGTGAAAAAGCTAAAAAAGAAAAAGGGCGCCATGGAGGAACTGGAGAAGGCCTTAAGTAGCCCAGGACAGCCGAGCAAATGCGTCACTATCCCCAGGTCTCTGGATGGACGCCTGCAGGTCTCTCACAGGAAAGGCCTGCCCCATGTCATCTACTGTCGGGTCTGGCGCTGGCCCGATCTGCAGAGCCACCACGAGCTAAAGCCATTGGATATCTGTGAATTTCCTTTTGGATCCAAGCAGAAAGAAGTTTGTATCAACCCGTACCACTATAAGAGAGTGGAGAGTCCAGGTAGTGTTACTCTTTTGAGAATTAAAAACAAAACAACTTTTCTTGATTTTCCCCCCCCCCCCCCCCCTTTATTGCAATTAAAAGTTTAGGTAAGCCTTATGTTTCCTCCTAGAAGATTTTAATTTTGGAAGGAATACTGGATTGCAAATTTAGCTTCTTATATATAGGTCTCAAGTGGCTTGTTCGCTGCTCACTGTAGCCAATCATCTGTACACACTACCTTTGTGTGGACCAGTGATCTTCAACCTTTCTCACATGTGACCCAGCTCTAGTCCTTGTGCCAGTGATTGAAAACAACTGCTGTGAATGACTTCCCTGCTACATCTAAACTCTCTATGTACAATACAGCTCTCCTTTGTCTGATCAGGAGATTTCTTTCTATAGCTATTATTCCTCTACAGTGTTGGATATATGTTACAAAACTCTGGGTTACGAGACTGTACTATTTCTGACAGCATACAAATAGTGCTCATCCTACAAAGTTAAACAAATTAGTGTTCTTACCCTCCACCCCAGATCCATTCCACTGTTTTGTGTAGTCCTTTTGTAGGAATCTGTGCTAGCTGATTGATTGTCTTCCTGTCCAGTTACTTTCTCTTCACTACTGTTTGACTTTTCACAGTCCCTGGTGATGACCTTATTACCAGTAAAGGGGTCTTCTCCAGTCCCCCGATTAATTCATAAAGTTTAGTGTATCATCTGATACATTGGCTCTCCTTCCTTTCTACTAGAAACTTTTTCTTAGTGGCATCTGAAATACTATACTCTCTTGGTTCTCTTGCCTCACTCGCTGGCTGATTTTGCTCAGTTTTTTAGTCTATTTAATCTGAAAAATGGACAAACCTGTAATCTGTTTTCCTGTTTCCATAGGACTTAGTCTTTAGTCTCTGACTTTTTTTTAATCTTTATTTTCCTCTGTATGTAACTCTCATCTTCTTTAAACCTACCTTATAAGCGGATGCTCACATCTTATTTCATTTGGTTTTTGGGCCACACCTAGTTGTTCTCAGGGCTTATTCTTGGCTCTGCACTCAGGGATCACTACTGGCAGACTCGGGACCATATGGGATGCCAGAGATTAAACCTGGGTCAGCTACATGCAGGGCAAGCACTGTGCCTGCTGGACTACCACTCTGGCCCTGATGCTCATGTTTTAAACTCAGTTTTTACTACTTTGGGGATTATTACACACGAAGAGCTGGTTCACAAGCTCTGTGATACTACCTGGCCTATCTTCTAAAATCTCAAGAGTTGTAATAAGTTGTAATAAAATCTCAAGAGTTGTAGTTTCTTGTTGCTACATAATGGATCATCACCAGGTAATATAAAACACATTCATTATCTCACGGTTTTTGTGGCTCAGGAGTCCAGACCTGGTTTCTTTATGGGTCCAGCACTCTGCTATTGCAGAGTGGTGCACAGAGTGGCTGGAGCAATAGGACAGCGGTTGGGCGTTTGCCTTGCATGCAGCTGGCCTGGCTGAACTGGGTTCAATTCCTACGCCCCTCTCGGAGAGCCTGGCAAGCTACCGAGAGTATCTCGCCCGCACGGCAAAGCCTGGCAAGTTACCCGTGACATATTCAATACGCCAAACACAATAACAAGTCTCATGATGGAGATGTTACAGGACCCGCTCGAGCAAATTGATGAATAACAGGAGCACCGTGCTTTTTTTTTTTTGAAATGAGCTAAATTATAGATGAAATGGTAGCTAGTTGTAGTTTCTTGTTGCTACATAATGGATCATCACCAAGTAATATAAAACACATTCATTATCTCACGGTTTTTGTGGCTCAGGAGTCCAGACCTGGTTTCTTCATTGGGTTCTTTGGAAGTCTGTAATCAAGGTGTTGATCAGGGTTTGGTCTCACCTGAAACTCAACTTGGGCAGGATCTGCTTCTCAGCTCATGTGACTGTTGACAGGATTCAGTTTCTTGAAAGTTATTTGGCTCTTGCAGGTTGGTGTCTGGAGACTGCTTCCATGGCTTATCACTTGACCTTCAAGTAGAACCTGTCATAACCTTCAGTCAGAACGGGAGAAAAGGTGTCTTACTAGACGGCTAATTTTGTTCTCATCCTTTGTGTCGTATCTGTCATCTTTGCTGTATTGGTTAGCAGCAGTATAGCTCACAGGAAACATACTCATAGGGTATGTTTACACAGGGTGGGAATTGTGCAGACTACCTTAATATCTGCCACAGTGCGTTTCCCATAGAGTCCATGAAAGCCCAGTATGGTAAAAAAAGACTGAAAATAATACTGGATGTGGAAACCAACAGGCCAAGAAGTGATGGTGCTGTCAGGGAAAGTTAGATTCAGGACTCTAGGGATACCCCTTGGAGCTGTAGCATGAATAAATCTGTGAAGAAAAGATGTGATAATTTAATAGAAACATAGTCTGAAAACTCGCAACTGTGATATTTGCTAAGAATTGCTAGGATTATAGGCTAGAAATTTTATTGTATTTCTCATTGTCAGGGTATCACTAAGACTTTTAGGTAGTAGAAATCTTATTTTTGTAATCCAGTTTTTCAGCTATGATTTGTTCTATAGAAAAGTTAGTGACAGTGGCTGAAGAGATAATATCGCAGATAAAGTGTTTCCTTGCATGTTGACTGACCTAGGTCTGATCACCTTATGATCCTCTGAATGCTCCCAGGAGTAAGCCCTGCTGCCAGTGTGGCCCAAAATTAAAAAAAAAAAAAAAGTCAAGGACATAGTTCTGATTTGCTTAAGAAAACTAATCAAGCATCTGATACAGGATGGACTCTATCATACCAGCATTAATGAAGTAGTAGTTGCAATAGTACAATATTTATTGAGCACTACAAACTAGGTACTTTTCCTAACTCTGTGAAGTTACTCCTTTATAGAGTTAGAAAAGAATAGTAACATTTTATCACCCTCAAACTTTACTAATAAGTTTGCAGTATGGGAAATCAGCACTGGAAAGGGAAGTCATCTAACCTATTTAAGATCACATAGCTATTAAGATATGTGAGATCATATGGGAGAGCCAGATATATTCCAGAAAGATGAAGATAAAAGATCAAGGTAGTTGGAAAGTAGGTAAAATGGAAAAACAAACAAAATAACCCAGAAAGCTAATTCAGGGAGTCATTATTTAATCTATAATATCTAGGCATTTAAACCAGGGTGTAGAATCAGGCTTTCTGGATTTGAATCCTACCAGTGTCACTACAGGCAGATTCCTTAACCCTTCTATGACGTGGTTTCATTTTAAGATGAAAATAATGCTTATATTTTAAGAGGATTTGATCTCTTAATGTATGAAAAGTGCTTAGATTAAAACAGTAACTGGGAGCCGGAGCGAGAATACAGTGGGGAGGGTGTTTGCCTTTTACTTGACCTACCAGGTTTGAACTCCAGCACCCCATATGGTCCCTCGAGCCTCCCAGGAGTAACTCCTTAGAGCGGAGCTAGGAATAACCCCTGAGCACTGCGGGGTGTGGCTGCTAAACCAAAATAAATACAACAGTAACTGACTCGAAGTAAATTTCAAATTAATAATCTAATAAAGTAATACATTCTGGAAATAGAGCATGGGGGAAAAGACAAAAAGAGAAAGTAACAAAATACTGCTGGAAGAATTCCCAGAATTGAAAAATCGAAAGGGGTAGGGAGTAAAGATAGTAAAACAGGTAGAGGATTTGCTTTGTAAAAGCAGCTCCCTCGGTTCAATTCCGGGCATCCCATATGGTCCCCAGAGCCCACTAGGAGTGATTTCCTGAGTGTAGAGCCAGATGTGGTTACCCAAACAAAACAAAACAAAAAATGAAAGGGGGTGCAGAGAGATAACACAGAGGGTAAGGTACTTCATACTTAACTGTTCCCCTAGCATCACATATGGCCTCCTGAGCACCCCCAGGGATGATCCCTGGCACAGAACCAGGAGTAAGTCCTGAGTACAGTTGATAATGACCCAGTGGCCACCTTCTCCCTCCCCAGCTCCCCCCCCCCTCAAAAAAAAGAAAAGGCCCAATAAATGCTAGAAAAGAGCCCACAGCAAAATAGTAATACATCTAAGATAAAAAGATTCTGAAAGATCTCAGAGATAAACGACTAGGCACTTAGTAGTAACAGTGAACATGAGAGTTATTTCTCAATATAATTCTGGATTCTAGAAATAGAGCAGTTACCATGAGAAGCTATTCTTGAGTGCAGAGTGTATGTGACCCCAAAACTAAACAAAACAGACAAAAATGAAACAAAATAGAGCAGTATTCCCGACCTCTAGAGAGAGGGACAGTAACGGGTTCTAGGATTTGTAGAAAAACATTTTTATATGTGCAGGGACTCAAAATGCATCTTCCTTAGATCTTTTTCCCCTAAGGAAGTAAATAGAGGACTAATACAGGATGAGGCCGAAGAAGTGGAGACCTGCTAGAGAGAAGGAAATAGAAGGCTGACGACTCAAATTTTCGGGATGCAGTCAATTGACTTACAGCATCTGAAAATTAAGCTGATAAGAATCTGAAAGAGCTGTTGGATCTGGGGCTGGAGAGATGGTACAGTGGGTAGGGTGCTTGCCTTGCATGCGACCAACCTGGCTTCCGTACCTGGCATCCCGTATGGTACTCCATGCACTGCCAGGACTAACGTCTGAGTATCACTATTGTGCTTCCCAAGACAGAAAAATAACCCCACCAGATCTGTTGCATCTTTGCAAGTATTAATGCAATATGTTAAGTTTATTTAATCAAAAGTTTTAGTATAACTTTATGGTCCGGTGGATTGGAGTTGGACAGAATGACACAAGAACACTCCTTCATTTACCATAATAGTCTACAGATAATGTCTCAAAAAATTAATAACTATATTTACAGAGTAAATGTTTAAAAAATGGCTGATCTTAAATTTATTGTCTCTAAAGATCAGAATGGTAGGAGGCTTAGAAATTGCTGGGGTTTTTTTTTGTTCTTATAATCTTTCAGCATAAACACTTTGAAGCTCCCCATGTATTATTCTGGATGAAAATAAAATAACTCCCCCAAATTATATGCACAGATAATATAATGGTAAGAGAAGTCAGTTGTATTAACTGAAAGGGGGGAAAGGTAACAAATTTGTTATGGGTTAAAATTCCTAAGTAATTATTTGACTTAGTCTTTCAGATTGCTTGCCACCTAAACATAGAAAGCCTTGCTCTGTAATTCCCTACTCCAAGGCAGCTGCCCCATCATCTCAGAGAGGTACAACAACTGGTAATGCACATTTTAACAGGATAATTGTCATCTGATGTCAATAATTATGGCACCGATTCATTGAAATGAAAGGAAACCAAACATAGTACAGATGTTGACTTCAAGAGCCTCTGGTTTCTCAGGTATATGAGGGGAAGTAGGACCTGCTTGGAGTTTAAATTAGTTTTGTTTTAATTTCTCATGAGAAAAGATAACCAGACATTGGAATATATATTTATCAGAGAAAGTGAGCATGTGAAATAAGCCTAACACTTACCTCTTTAGAAATATCTCAAGGTTTTTAGGTGTTGCAGTTTTTCATTATGCTCATGGTTAGAAATCTCATTTTGAGTAAGATTTCATGCTCACAAAATCTTAACTCTCCCCCACCCTTAGCAGTTCTCTGTAAAATTCCAGGTGTTAAGGTCGAATCAGATGTCTTTATTTTGCAATTTTTGGTTTCATTCCTGGCTAGCTGCAAGTGCTCTTCCTCTGGTGAAGTCTCATTTCATTAAGGTCCTTGTTTCCTGCTTGTTTTATATGATATATCACAGAACTAGAGTGGAGGAATGGTGTCTTTTGGAATTTTCTGTCTTCTGGATTAAATTATAGAGGCTAAAGGCCTTTAATTATTATGCAAGTAGAAGACTCAAGATTCTACAAAACATTTTTTCCTAAGAGTGAATAGTCTTTTTGACAATTATTACTGCCCAGAATCATTTCTGTTAGCTCTTTAAAATGTATAGGATATTTGTGTCTGTCCTTGGTCACAAATGACTTGATTATTATTATTATTTTTTTTTTGTCTTTCAGTTTTACCTCCAGTGTTAGTGCCTCGTCATAATGAATTCAACCCACAACACAGCCTTCTGGTTCAGTTTAGAAACCTGAGCCACAATGAACCGCATATGCCACAAAACGCCACGTTTCCAGATTCTTTTCACCAGCCCAACAACACTCCATTCCCCTTGTCTCCAAACAGCCCCTATCCACCTTCCCCCGCCAGCAGCACCTACCCCAACTCCCCAGCAAGTTCTGGACCCGGAAGTCCATTTCAGCTCCCAGGTGAGAAATTGTTTTATGGATAGGAACAACAATCCCTGAGAATTAGTAATTGTATTACACTAATAGCCCTAGTGAATGAACGTTTTTGCTCTATGTTTGCACTAGCTATGTTTTATATTCTTTGATAATTGATTTCAAAAACAGTTTCGAATTTGTTTTGCCAAGTACTGTATGTTTTAAAAATTGAAAGTACTTAAACTATTTTTTTTATGATTTATGAGACTAGGTACTGTTTGAATGACTTATCTCAACTGATACTGCTTTAAAAGCTATTGCATGAAATTTAACCTTTCAAACAACAAATATTTGTAGGTAATATTTCAGTTGTGCAGATGGAAAAAGAAACTGATGTTATTCCCAAGATATTAAGTAACCTGTGTAAGGTTGCACAGCAAACATGTGAAATTTCAAACGAAGGCTTTCTGACTGAATTGTGTGCTCATCTGACTAACTGTACTACATTGCTTGCTAAATCATTTTAGGCTTTGGAAGTTTAAAATAAAATAAACCCCCAGTTATCTTTTGTTAGAAAACAGGTTATCCGAATTGCCTGGGAAAATGATAATTTTTATAATGTTTTTAAATTTTGTTAATGGTATGTTGTAAATGGACACGTCATTTTATCATTGTGACAAAATTAGAAAACCTGTTATTGTCATGCAATGTGGGGAACAAGGGTGATGAAGATTTATGGGGATTAAATATCTCAATTTGCCATTCAGTTTGCAGTTGGATGTGTATTCCAAAACTAATTCCTATGGTTTATGCTAGATTTTGTGTTGGTTGTAGCTCTGTTTCAAAATTTATCTTGTATATACCCTGGGGTGAAAGACAAATTATAGTTTGTATTTATAGTTACTGAAACAAAAACAGATTATAACTGTAGCTTTTGCTAGGATTTTCAGCCTTGGAATTTAGAAGATTTCTTTCTATCATTTAGTTTCTAAGAGAATTGTCCAGTCATTTAATAAGCCACATTAACAAATTCTGAATGAATTAGATATCTGCTTTTGGCGTTGATGATAAATTTTTAAAAGGGGTAAGTTTTGCTTTCCAGTTTTAAATAACAGTATACAATTCACGATGGTCTTGATAATTTAAAAGGCCTTTGTAGCCCTTTCAAATATCCAAACTAGCACAACCTGGTTCTTCAATTTGATTCTCATTAGTTGACCTTTATCACATATTTGATTCTAAACAGACACAAAATTTTCTTATTTTGATTTCTGGAATTGGTTTGGACCACACCTAACTGTTTTTAGGGCTTCCTCCTGGTGGTGCTCAGGAGACTAGAGGTGTTAGCTACAGATGGAACTTAGTTGGCTGCTTGCAAGGCAAGTGCCCTACCCACTGTATTTTCTCTGGCCCTAAAGACAGAATACTTTTTCCTCTAAAAAATTTTTTAACACTGAGCCCGGCAAGCTACCGAGAGTATCCTGCCCTCATGGCAAAGCTTGGCAAGCTCCCCATGGCGTATTTGATATGCCAAAAACAGTAACAAGTCTCACAAGTTGTTGTGAGGCGTTACTGGTGCCCGCTCGAGCAAATAGATGAACAAGGGGAGGACAGTGCTACAGTGCTATCCATCACCAGTGTACCCACTTTCTTCTTCTAAGGTCCCCCCTCTTCACAACCCCCCCCCATTTTCCACCCTCCCTGCCAAACTTCAGTTCTTTGGATTTATTCTCCAACTGTATTGCCTTTTGTCCTTTGTTCTACCTTGCTGTGTATCTTTTAAGTCCCATATATGAAATATTATATTTCTTTCCTTCTGACTGACTTCACTTAGCATGATATCCTCTGGTTCCATTCATATCACGGTAAATTGTATGATTTTGTTCTTTTTCAGAGCTGTATAATATTTTGTTGTGTATCTGTACCACAGCTTGATCCATTCATTCGTAGTTGCGCATTTGGTTTGTTTTCATATCTTCTCTGTTGTACCAAGCACTGTGATTAATATCGGTATGCCATAATCTTTTGAATTAATGTTTTTTGTGTTTGGGGGTAGATGCCAAGTAGTTGTAGCATTCAGTAATGTGGGAGTTCTATTCCTGTTTTTATTGAGGGATCTCCATACTGCTTTCCAAAGAAGTTGAACCAGACGATACTCCTGTGAATGAGGATTTCTTTCTCACTACAACTCTGCTGACCCTGGCTGTTTCCAGACTTTTTGACATATGCTAAAGGCAGAATTCTTCACCTTGAATTCTATTTTAATGAATTTTAGTCCTGACCTTACTGTTCTGTATTGTTTGTGGCCCAAAGCAAATACGTGTAGACACATAGTAGGTTTTCAGTAACTGTTGAGTGTGCTGTTTTCTTTCCTGTTCCCTTCACCCAAGATAGCATCCTACATATTTGTCAATCTTTAGTAATGGATCCTGCAGGTAAGCTTAAGAATTTTTAAATGCTTTCAGAATAATAACTTTGAGAAGGCTGCAAATTTAAATTCTTCTTTTGGGATTTTGACTTCTCATTTTCTTCCACTCAGCTGATACTCCTCCTCCTGCCTATATGCCACCAGATGATCAAATGGGTCAAGATAACTCCCAGCCCATGGATACCAGCAATAATATGATTCCTCAGATTATGCCCAGTATCTCTAGCAGAGGTAAAGAAATGCCCTGTTTACTTTGTTGTTTTAACTTGTTGACCGCTTTTTATAAACTGCTTTAACATGGTATACTTCAAAGCATAAAACTTATTCATGTCAGTTGTATGATTCAATGATTTTTTTTTCCAGTATCACCACAATTTATTAGAACATTCCTGTAACCCTTTTGTTTGTTTGTTTGTTTGTTTTGCTTTTTGGATCACACCTGGCAGTGCACAGGGGTTACTCCTGGCTCATGCACTCAGGAATTATTCCTGGCGGTGCTCAGGGGACCATATGGGATGCTGGGAATCGAACCCGGGTCGGCCGCATGCAAGGCAGACGCCCTACCCGCTGTGCTATTGCTCCAGCCCCACTTCTGTAACTCTTAACAAAATCTCCTTTTTACCTACCTTTAATTTTCCCCCACTTATATCCTCAGTTTCATATACTCTCAAAATCCACATTGGTTTGAGACCATAAATTCCTGTTTGTTAGACGTTAAGAAAAAGGTGCTTCACTTGCTGCATTTCTTAAAAGAATAGTGTTTTATGTGTTTGATAATACCGAACACACTGTTTTTTCCCAAGAGCCTTACATTTCTAAAAATAGTTAAATTCTAGGTTTCCTGATAGTTTTTTAATGTCTTAGTGTTGAATAACATCTTTCCTTTTTCAAGGTTAGAATTTATATAGAGATTTTGTCATACTAATTCTGTAAGTCACAGAATTTATCTTTATCTAGAACAAAATGATTCAGTATGAAGTTTTATATTGGAATTCTCACATCTCATTTATTTTGTGACTTAGGTAAACTTTTAAAAATTTACCTTAGAATGTAATTTGTAATTTGCAAACAACTGAGTGGGTTCCATTAAAAGACCTGGTAATCACATTTTCTTGCCTCCCAGATACATGTCTTTTTCCACCAGAATTCTTGTTTTACTCGTGTTTTGTGTTTTGTCTTTTTCTGTTTGTTTGATGAAGGTGGCAAAAGGAAAATTAAAGCTAAGCTGTAGTGCCTTCAGTCAGCTGTTAGTATTGTCCTATGCTTGGAGCACAGTAAAACTTTTTCTATTTTTTTTTTTTATCTTAACCACAAGTGTCATTTTAGTTTCGCTTATTAGCCTTTCATGCCCCTGTAAATTTCTGCTCCTTATTTTCTTAAGTTTTCCTGACACTATTCTTTTAACTTCCTGCTATGCATTTGCATGTGTGCTTGGTTATGGGCCCCGTGGGACTTCTCTTTATGGGTCAGTGCTGATTTTTTTTCCCCCTTTGTTCTGCATCATCTAAATTCTATGCAGTTGAATAATAAACATTAAGTTTCAAAAGATAGCCAGTTCAGGAGCCAGAATTAACCATACAGCAGGTAGGCCTTGCATGCATGCAGATGACCCGGGTTTGGTCCCCATATGGTCACCCCCTATGGTCCTCAAGCCTTCCAGGACTGATCCCTGAGTGCTGAGCCAGGTCTGTGCCCTGAGCATCTCTGGGTGTAGCCCAAACACTGCTGGCACCCTCACCTCCCTTCCCCCCCAAAAAAAAAATTAATCCATTATTTCTGTACTGCCTCTTTAGCTTAACTGATAGTTCTTACACTTTTTTTTTTTAAATTTTAAATCTGACCTGACATTCTTGAGGAAAATTGAGAAGTTCCTGATTTTTGTGCGCGGTTTTAGTTCCAAGAAAGACATTTCTGCTAGCATTGAGTAAAGCATGTCTCTGTGCTTTCTTCCTCATTGTGAATATTTGATTCTTTCACAAAATGGAATTTGATCAGTATTTTATCTTAGGTATATATTGTTTTTTCAATAGCAGTTGTGGCATTTAACATTAAAGGAGTATATATCATCTTTTACTCATACACAATGCTTACATAGTTGATATTTTTCACTCTTTTTTATTACTTTAGTTTTCAGATCAGTTTTAGCCTTACAGATTGATCAGGTTAGTTTGGGCAGAAAGTGCAGAGTTCCCACATGCTGTCATTCCTCACATACATGACCTCTCCCATTATCAGTATATCCTATACTACTATTACATTTCAATTAATATCTGTCCACATAGTGAAGGACATCTTGGTTGATTACATGATTTGGCAATTACGAATAAAGATCCTATAAACATCTGTGTGCAAGTTTTTTGTTGAATTTAAGTTTTCAGTTCCTTTGTATATACCAAAGAATACACTTTCTTGGTTGTTTGGTAGGAGCAAGTTTAGTTTTGTAAGAAATCATCCAACTCTGCCATTTTGCAATTCCCACTAGTAATGAGAGTCCCTGTTTGCTCTACATACTCACAAGCATTTGGTGTTATCAGTGTTTTGATTTTGCCCGGTTTAGTGATTTTATATATATCTATATAGTAGTGTTTTATTATTTTGATTTGTATTTTCCCTGATGACATGATACAGAGCATCTTTTTATGTATTTGTTAATTTTGTTCTTTGGTGAGGTCTTTGCTCATGTCAGTTGATTTAGTTTTTTTTTTTTGATCAAGTCAGTGCCTTTTTTTAAAAAAATCAATTAACAATGTTGTTTCATAAAATCCAGCTTGTCAATGATTTCTCTCATGAATTTTTTTTGGGGGGGGATATTGGGGTCATACATATTTATGTCCAGGACTTCCTTCTGGCTCCATGCTCAGGGATTACTTCTGGTTGGCTGGGGACCATATACACAGTGCTAGGAATCAAACCTGGATCTGCTGTGTGCAAGCCAGTAACCATACTCGCTGTATCTCTGTAGTCCCTCTTTTATGGATATTGTACTTCTAGAAGTTTTAATAGTTTTAGGTTTATATTTATGATTGATTCTGACAGCGGGTAGGGCATTTGCCTTGCATGCGGCTGACACGGCCGACCTGAGTTCGATTACTCCACCCCTCTCGGAGAGCCCAGCAAGCTACCGAGAGTATCTTGCCCGCATGGCAAAGCCTGGCAAGCTACCCGTGACGTATTCGATATGCCAAACACAGTAACAAGTCTCACAATGTTACTGGGCCCACTCGAGCAAAATTGACGAACAACGGGAGGACAGGGACAGTGACAGTCTGACTTGCTGTATCTCTCTAGTCCCTCTTTCATGGATATTGTACTTCTAGAAGTTTTAATAGTTTTAGATTCATATTTATAATCAATTCTGATATTTGTGTGAAGGTTATAAAATACATGTGTAGATTGATATTTTGCATCTGAGTACCAGTTGTTCTTGTTCATTAAAAAAGACTATCTTGTCTCCATATTTTCCTGAATCCTTTGTCAAGATAAACTTAATATATGTGAATATTTTATACATCTTGAATGTTGACTCCTTTCAGTTTTTTGTTAGATTAGTGAAGGGCAAATAAATATTTTCTCCCAGGTCTTGGGGAGTCTTTTTTATTCTGGTCATTGTTTCTTTTGTTTGATGTAATCCTATTTGTTTATCCTTGCTTCTGTTTTTTTGGCCAGTGGCATTGAATTATTGAAGGTGACTTTAGATACAGCGTCCTGAGGGATTTTTGTCTATTTTCTTCAATATAACTTGTAGGTTCAGGTTTGATACAAGGTCTTCGATCCATTTTGGATTGACATTTTTGGGCATAATGTGAGATAGTGGTCTGAGTTTATTTTTATACATGTGACTACTTGAAAATCTTTCTGTGCTTGGGTTTAATTAAGTTTAGAAGCTCAGAGAATTGGGAGTTTCTGAGCATCCTTCATTAAACCTGATTTCTGTCTGATTTGTTCACAGACGTTCAGCCAGTTGCCTATGAGGAGCCCAAACATTGGTGTTCAATTGTCTACTATGAATTAAACAATCGTGTCGGGGAAGCTTTTCATGCCTCTTCTACAAGTGTGTTAGTAGATGGATTCACAGATCCCTCAAATAACAAAAGTAGATTCTGCTTGGGTTTGTTGTCAAATGTTAACCGGAATTCAACAATCGAAAACACTAGGCGGCATATTGGAAAAGGTAATCTTGTCATTTCCCTACAGCCATGCATTATGTGAGAAACTGAAGACATGGTCTCTTCTTGAGTCACAGGTGTTAAAGGTGCATTACCTAAAGACACGGTTCTCTTACTCAGTTTTATTTCCTACTGCTTAGGATCTGAAATCACTTTATATTTTTGTTATTTTCTGACTCCCTGAAACAGGACTAAATACTTTAGCGGTACTTTGCTTGGTCACAGTGTCCTCAGCGGTTAGAATAATCACTGTCATTGTCCTCCGGTTAGAATAATCACTGTCACTGTCCTCCCGTTGATCATCGATTTGCTCGAGCGGGCCCAGTAACGTCTCCATTGGAGACTTTGTTGTTACTGTGTTTGGCATATCGAATACGTCACGGGGAGCTTGCCAGGCTCTGCCGTGCAGGCGAGATACTCTCAGTGGCTTGCCGGGCTCTCCGGGAGGGGCGGAGGAATCGAACTCGAGTAGGCCATGTTGGCTGTGTGCAAGGCAGATGCCCTACCGCTCTGCTATCGCTCCAGCCCTTAGAATAATACCTGACTCATAATGAATAGTTCTGTCATACATGAATGACGATGAAGAATTAAACTTTCATTATAATTGTATTTGTGTAATGGTTGAGATAGCTGGTAAAAATTTTCATTATTCTAAGATCAGACTAGAGGTGACCTGGGGACAATGAAGGGGAGTCATGGACACGTTCATGGTGGTGAGATACAGCTTTGTACATCAACACTATAAACTTTAACACTATTATAAACATATTACCTAAACTATAATAAAAAAAATTTAATTTCCATTATCTTGGAGGAGCAGGATTACAATGTAGGAAATCCAGTTTAATGATAGGTCTTTACTGATTTCACCATCACCTCTGCTAGCTTTCAAAATCAGGGAACAGTTGTATTTATAATTCACCCTTGAAGACAGTTTCCACAACAAGCTAGGAACTTTGACACTACAATAAAATGTCAGAATTTCATAAAACAAATGGTCCAAAAGGAAACCTATCCCAGATAGAGTATATTGTCTGAATCTTAAAAGCTTTTTTTTTTTTAACCACTTGCTGCTTTTTGTTTCTTTGACTTAATGCAGTCTTAATTCAAATTAGGAACAAATGGTAAATCATTATAATTGTGATGTGATTTCCTGTTGAAGAGATCAGAAAGTTAAAAATAGGTTGCAAGTTTCTCTTATTTTGGCCGATTTGCCCTGATTTTTTTTTTTCAGGTAAAATGTGTCACTCTTATGCATTTATTTTTGTGCTACCATAGAATAATTTAGGAGTAATCAATTTTAGAACAAGTTTTCTCTTTTCAGTATACTTTTTAAGACCATTTTCTGCATGGGTCATTTTTATTTTATTTTATTTTATTTGTCCGTACATAGATATGAACAAGATTCATCTTTTTTGCATTGCCAGCAGCAGTGAAAAGTTGAGTACACCTTTATCTTCAGCTGTTATTTGAATATTTTATTTGAGTATTGAATTACTTGAATATTTTATATTAAAACTATAGTCATTACGTATGTTTCAAATTTCCAAACACATAAAGGAAAGTAAAATAAATCTTCCATTGAAAGATTCTTTCTATACCCTGAAATTGCATGTGAATTAAGATTGTAAAAAATCTTGCTTTTCTTCCCATTGGCCAAAAAAGCTAAACAGTATCCCTTTGAAAGAGCTTGTTGATTGTTGTTTCACCACTGCTCTTTCTCACGGAGGTGATGCATGATTGCTGGAGAGGGGGAAAGTCTGCAAACTGAAAACCAAACATTCTGTGAACCCGAGGCTGAAGTTTTAGTTATTTGGTGACTGATTTAGATTTGGCAGACATGAGCCTCTTTGTTATCTTTGGAAGCAAAAGGCCACCTAGTGGTAGCTTCAGCAGGAAGACTTGGGAGTTGGCTTTAGCTGAGTGGGTCCTGTTTCAATCCTGTTTGGTCTCTGTAAGTGGCCTTGCTAACATGGCTGCTGTGCTGCCCACCTCTAGGTGTTCACTTGTACTATGTCGGTGGAGAGGTCTATGCTGAGTGCCTCAGTGATAGCAGCATATTTGTACAGAGCAGGAACTGCAACTTCCATCACGGCTTTCACCCCACCACTGTCTGCAAGATTCCAAGCAGCTGCAGCCTCAAAATTTTCAACAATCAAGAGTTTGCTCAGCTTCTGGCTCAGTCTGTCAACCATGGGTTTGAGGCAGTATATGAGCTCACCAAAATGTGTACCATTCGGATGAGCTTTGTCAAGGTGAGTAGTCTGGAACTAGCTTAATTTGAGTGACCCTGAATATGTGTGGTACATATTTGCATGTGTAATAAATTTTTAAATCCTTTTAATTAAGTGTAGGATGGTAGTGACTTTGGCCTGATTTAACGGGGTTTTAATATTTAGTTTTTAGTATTGGGCATTGAACCCAGGAAGGGCCTGCTACATGGGAGGTGTACCAGGTGCTCTGCCACCGAGCAATATTCCTGATCTAGAAAACTTTTGGTATTGGATTTTTTTTTTAAGGGCCTAGAAGTTCAGTGGGCTAGAACATAAGAATTGTGTGTCCTGGATCCCCACATTTGAGCCTTTCCTTAGCACTGGACTGTCCAAATAACTGAATTGTCAGGCCTGCATGATGACAATTGTCAGGACTATTGCCAGGAAAGGCCCCCGGGCTCCCGCTTTCAAGCACCACTTGGGGGAACTTAAAAATGGCAAAACTTTTAAGTTCTTTAGCAGAATGTAGCTCTTAAAGTTTAATCATTATTAGATCCTGGTATAGTGATGGCAAGAATTCTCTAGAATACTAAACTTATTATTTTAATTGTATCTAAACTCTGTTATTAAGAATTTGCAAAGTTCAGAGACCTTTTATCAGCATTCCAAAGATGACTCACGGCAAAATTTGCAAAGAATTCTAGTAGTATATTGAAGCAACCTGTACTCTGTTTTTATGGTCTTTAAGAATTTAGCCACAGAAAGACAACTTTTATATGCTTTGTGAGGGGTTTTTTTGTTCGTATTTTAGGCTTTCAGTCTCACCATTCAGTGTTTCCCTGCCATTGTCTTGTAGCACTGTAGCACTGTCCTCCCTTTGTTCATGGATTTGCTCGAGCAGGCCCAGTAACGTCTCCATTGTGAGACTTGTTGTTACTGTGTTTGGCATATCGAATACGTCACGGGTAGCTTGCCAGGCTTTGCCGCGTGGGCAGAATACTCTCGGTAGTTGCCTGGCTCTCCGAGAGGGGCAGAGGAATCGAACACGGGTCAGCCCAGCCGGCCACATGCAAGGCAAATGCCCTACCTCTGTAGCCCAAAGGTATTTCCCTTCTAAAGAAATATGGCTTTTGCCTATTTAACACACAAATGAAAGCACATGCTACATTGCACAGCTTAATTTTTCAGGGTACAGCTGCTGAAGAAGTGCTATTTTAGGTTTTTTTTGTCTGTTAGGCTAAAGGGTTCATCTCAAGTTATATGTATCCTGTTAATTTCCCATCTTAAGGATAACTGATTACCATTTTAATTATACTTGCATGTATTAATTACATTTATTGTTCCTTATCTAATATTTAAAAGACCAACAACCGGAGTACATGAATGCTCAAAACTTTTTCCTGACAAAATCTAATATAAATTTATATGAGGCTACTATTTGCTTTAGACTTACTCAGTTAAGTGAGAATAAATCTTATTGTGGAAATGTTAATCGTTTGATTATGAGATACTGTACCATGTTGACTTTGTCTGATTGAAAAAAAAAATCTGACATATCATAGCACCAAGGATTTTTACTTAGGGAATTATACATTATTTAAAAATTAATATATAATTTAATAATGCAGCTATTATTGCTTTCAATTCTGTGGTGAATGCTGATTGGTTTTATGATTTACATGTTTTATTATTTTTGTTGTTGTTGTTGTGTTCAAAATTGGGGTAGACTGACAGTCTAAAGAGGGCTGTTTTCTGATTTCTGTTCATCTTTGTAGGGCTGGGGAGCGGAATACCACCGTCAGGATGTTACTAGCACCCCGTGTTGGATTGAGATTCATCTTCATGGCCCTCTTCAGTGGCTGGATAAAGTCCTCACTCAGATGGGCTCCCCTCTGAACCCCATATCTTCTGTGTCATAGTGCAGAAGTGTTCTTTTCAATTACATTATTAGTGGACTTGTTTTAATTTTAGGGAAACGTTCAGTACAGATACTGTGAGCATATTTGGAAAACAGATATTACAGCTTATTTTTTTTCTACACAATTGTGACCAATACATTTGTATTTTGTGATGAATCTACATTTATTTGTATTTGTGTTCGTGTGATTAACTCTCAAAAGTGTTGTGAAAATACAGAGTAGGTATTGTGCCCCAGTTCAGAAGTTTGACATCAGTTTTAAACTGGAACATACTTTTGCCCTGTTGTCCCCAGCAGTTCTTTGTTGTTGCTGATTTTTTTGTAAAGTAAGCATCATATGATGAAAAATTCTAATTGTGTAACAAGATATTCAGTGGAAAGTCGTACCTTCTATTCTTGACCTTTTAGAGTCTGTACTTAAACCAGTTTCTTTGTCCCACCAACTTAAAAGAAGTATAATTCATTATTTTGTGAAAGTATGTAGTAGGGGCTTAAGAGAAACTATAAAACTCTATTTGAAGGAACACTATGCACTGCTCTAACAAGTAGTGTTCAGTAAAAGCAAAATCATAAAATCTACATTTAATACAGTTAAATGTTTGTCAGTGTATTGTGACTTCACTCATCTTTTGTAAAACATTTCCTTTGTCCTTAAAAAAAAGTAATAATTGCAAACAAATCTCCAGTAGATGACATTTACTCAGAATCTCTCAGATGTACTACTACTTTATAGCTAGTGACAGTGCATGCACCGCCTTTTTTGTTTTTTGGTGTTTTTTAAATTTTTTTGGCTATGTTTGCTACTTACGGCTAACATTGCAAGAACTCTAATTTTGACATGCATTACTCTTTAATTTTGCACTTTGATAGATGACAGTTTTTAGTATAATCTTTTTTGAAACACACTCAAACGACTTGGACTTAGATGCTTATCTTTATTTTCTTGGGTACCTTTTATATTAAGAAACACTGTAATCTATAGCTAACTTGTAGAAAGTTACTCTTTTTCTAACTTTTGTTTTATTTCAACCTTGTTTATAAGACTGTTATTCTACTGCTTCCATTTAGGGTGCCTTTTAAATTCCCTACCATTTTATGAATGTTACTAATGTTGGAAAATCGTTAATTAAACCCGCTGCTCATACCTCGTATTGGTTATAAACTGTAGGAGACTCTCCAATCTGGTCTGGTCATGGGACTGAGGCAAATGACGTGATACTTGGCAACTACCAGCAGTGGTGTTTGGAACAGATGATTTTAAAATAAGTTCACATATCTAAGAGGGCGGACCACTCTCTTGGTTACCAGGCATGCTCTCATTTTTTTCTGTAGCATCTGTGTGAATGCTTTTCTCTCAGAACATCCTTACAGGGAGAAACACGAAAACTCTAAAATACCCATTTAATCACTGGTGGTTAAAGGCTTTATTTGAAAACTTTAACCCCCTTTTCTGGGAGCAGTCAGACACTTTGGACATGAAAACAAAGAAATGACTTCAGGAAAAACAAACAAACCTGATTTGACTATCAGAAGCTTATTTTCTCGTGTCTCTTGAAAGTACATAACATGTTCTGTTTAGGTGTTGTTTGATTTGACTTTCTATTTTGCCCTTTCTGCCTTATGAGGAATAATGTGCTTTCTATTTTTTTGAGGAAAGAAGAATACTGCCCTTTTATTTCCTGTGATGTTATTTATTGCTTTTACAAAGTGCAGCCAATGGATGGTTTTAGTTCTTTCAGATGAAGTGCCATATATGTTTCAACTTACAGTTAATAACTGGGTAAAAGGACACACTCTGACAGGCATCTAAGCCTTAAGATTTATGTGAATGCATTTTCATACTTCCAGAATTGTCAGCCACAGAAAGATTATTTGCTTAGTGGTAGACTTGATCGATTTTTATCATCCTTTTTACCTTATAGGCTCATGACTTCAATGGGCTTGAATGGGTGGAAACTAGTGTTTCATTGATGCTTTCAAATGACTTCATTAAAAATTACTTTCATTTGGGCCAAGATTCTGTCAAGGCCTTGGGAGTTGATCAGGGTTTCACTTGCAGGGCCTTCTCTGTGTTTTCTCTGAAAAGTTTGATCTCACTGAATGACAGTACTAAAACTGTTAGCTGTAAAAGAGTTTCGTGGAGAAGTATGAACCTGTTATATTTCTTAGATGTTACTAACGCCAACCTCTTGAGCTTCAAACAAAAACTTTAATTAGTCAAGTTGTTTTCATAATTTCTAAGGATGCCCAATATTCATGGAGAGGAAATCAAAATTGCTAACAGGTTTTTTTCCAAAAATACAAAAAAGTACTTCTGAAAGAAATAATTTCAGAAAAATTTGTTTTGTGTTTTTATCTAGTATCTATCATGGTCTATAGTTCATAAATCAAATTTATGAAAATGCTACTAACATAATCACATTTAATAGTACATATTAATATGTACCACCTAAAAAGGCAGAGTTTGGGAGTAATGAAATTGTAACCAGTTTGGGAAGTGCAGAAAGAGGAATCATTTTCAGTAATGAATTAAAGCTATAAAAAGATGTCAAGTGTAGAAAAATGGAATTTACATAAATGGAATTTATGTAATAGAGTATTGTGCTATGGTTGATATTGTCTGGCTGAGGAATGTAAATTAGTAGGCATGCTATTGATGTACCTACCCTAACATTTTTTTTCTTCAGAGAAATTTCAAGGAAGGCATCAATTCAAGAGGCCAGATACTATTCATGATGATTTAAATCATTTTTCACATTTATTGTTGATATCTGAAGAAATTGTGGTCATTGAATGGGTTTCTAAGATGAACTTCACAGTGAGATTTCTAGATAGTTCAATAAGCTTCAGGTAGTGCCGGGAAGATGTAGCTGTTTTATACTTGCTATAACATTCGAGAGTAAAATAATCTCTTAGGATGTAAAATGATCTTTGCGCATTCAGATCCATTTTCAAGAAAACTGGGACCCATATTACAAAATATTTGGCATTAACCCAAGGGCCACTGTCCTCCCATTGTTCATCGATTTGCTCGAGCAGGCCCAGTAACGTCGATTTGCTCAAGCAGGCCCAGTAACATCTCCATTTTGAGACTAGTTGTTACTGTGTTTGGCATATCGAATATGGGTAGCTTGCAAGGATTTGCTGTGCGGGTGGGATACTCTTGGTAGCTTGCCAGGCTCACCCAGGGTACCACTGAGAAACTCCTTTGTAACAGTGTTGTTATGTTGATGAGAAAGTTTATGCCAAAAATTGAAACCCTGACAGTAAAAGAGAAACTCTGTGATACAAAGTACCTCTTAAAGTGCTAAACCTACTAGAGAGAAGTCTAATTTGTAGAGCCATTTCTCCCGACTTTTCCTAGTTTTTTGCTTAATACTACTTTGTATCGCTGTCATTTTTCCATCTTTGATATATTCCTTTCTACTTCCTGGGGGAGGAAGGATCTTTTGATAACTGTTGAATGCAGCTTCCAGTGGTGACTTTACATTTTGGGTTAATTTTGTCTGACTAGTAAACTTGTCTAATCCCTCTCTCATCCTCATTTTACATATCAGGTAGGTAATCGAGGGTCTTTCAAGGCAGTAGTAGCCTGGTGGTTTTAGCAGTGTTTGGAGGGGAATTTTCCGAAGTATTGGTTTATGGGTGATCCCCTCGGATGTTAACTGGGGCAGCTTTTTTATTGGGGTTGGGATGAATCACAGGTTTGATGCTGGCTCTTCCCCACAGCATGAGCATTTCCCTCATTTATACGTGTGGGAGTCTGGGGAGGTTTTCTCACAGATATGCAAGTATAGAGAGTGAGTATTCAAAAGATTACTTTTGTAGAATCACTTCTACCTGCTGGGCAGAAAGTTGGACAGTTGTTTGAAATTCACTGGATTGCTGTTTAGTGTCTCCCAAGTAACAGTATTTATCAAGTCTGTGTTAGATTATTCATAATATAAACTTAACTTTCTAAAGTACAACTATATTATAACTGACATGTTACCCTAAAATGGGGCTGCTTTACAAAAACCAGTGAGAAAGCATGTATTCGTTTTTTTTTTTTTATTAAAGAGCTTATGCTACAGTATTTGTTGGCAAAAATTGCAATCAGACAAGTCAGATTGTTTTTTGAAAAGATCCAGCTTGGGAGCAGGTTTACTCTGCTACTCATAGCAGAATGGAATTGTGTGGTTCTTTTCCGAATAATTCAGTTCTTAAAATTCTTAAAATAATCAGAAACGGTTATCTTTTAACGACTTATATGAACATGCTGGTGTGTGTGAGTGTGTGTGTGTGTGTGTGTGTGTGTGTGTGCGCGCATGCGCGCACATGCACTTAAAGTTCAGAATTTTGTGTACAGGTAGATATTGTTTCCTCATTAGTATTAGGTAGTGCCTTAATCCTAGCTGATATTAGTTATAACAAAACTCCAGTGAGGCCAAACAAGTCCTTTTGTAAAAGAAGAAATTTTTTTTAGAATTCAATTTTTCTCTTCTAATACTGCTGGAGATGATTTTGCTTTGAGTTTTTCAGGGAATAAACATTAGGGACTCTTAAAGATTATAATCTGGCAACTGGTTTTCTTTATAACCTACTTGGTTAGTTTCATTTTGAAAATGACTCAATTTAAAATTTGGTAGCAGTACAATCATGAAAACTGGATGTTTGAATTACCTACCCATGTTCTCTTAAAAGGGTATTTCAAATTGAAGATGATATCAACCAAACCAATGGCTGCACTGTAGGCCTGCTTGTTTGTAGTAGTTCTGCTTCTGTTTATGTTGTAGAAAATGAATTTCTAGCCACATGCCTCAATTCTGTTACTTTTTTACCTATAAAATGTATTAGGTTTTACTATTATGCTTGTCAAAGCCATAATAACTCTTAAGAATTTTTGTTTTTGCATATGTTTGCTAATACTTTATTTTAATAAACCTTGAAACCTACTTACTGTGTCTTTTGTTTTTGTACTGTTGTGACTTATAAGTCTCATTGCATTATGAAGGGAGGAGAACATCAGTCGCTGTGAACCTGCAGGGTCGCAGGTGTTTGTGTATACCAATGGTAAAGGTAAAGGTAAAGGCCCTCCCGTTGATCGTCGATTTGCTTGAGTGGGCCCAGTAACGTCTCCATTGGAGACTTTGTTGTTACTGTGTCTGGCATATCGAATACTCTCGGTAGCTTGCCGGGCTCTCCGAGAGGGGCGGAGGAATCGAACTCGGGTCGGTCATGTTGGCTGCGTGCAAGGCAAACGCCCTACCCGCTGTGCTATATGGAAGAAAATAAATAGTCCATGATTCTATGTCTTGGGACTCAGCATGAGGTTGGTTCAGAGTGAGCAATCATGTTCCATTCAGATAGGAGAGTTGATATGTTTTTCTCTCTCTAGTTTTTTTTTTTCTTTTTGGGTCACACCCAGTGATGCACAGAGGTTACTCCTGGTTCATGCACTCAGAAATTATTCCTGGCAGTGCTTTGGGGACCATATGGGATGCTGAGAATTGAACCGCAGTGGGCTGCATGCAAGACAAACACCCTGCCTGCTGTGCTATTGCTCGAGCCCCTCTCTAGTTTTGCTTTGAAAAAGTATTTGGACCTGGACTTGAGGTGTTGGGGCAGTGTTGGAGTCTGACCTCTCATTTCCCAGCTCTTGATCCTGTCCCCACTGCGGCTGTGACTGGGTGATGGGAGGTGGACAGAATGCCATGGAGGCGGTCAGTCTACATCAGCCTACCCTGGGACTCACAGGGTCCTTAGCGCTAGTCCCTTAGGTTTTCCTGGTCTATAAAGTAAATATCAGCATCTAGGGGTTAGAGGAAAATTAAATGAAGGATTGTATGTAAAGTACTCGACCACCCAATACAGCAGAGCTACTGGATTTCACTACACCATTGTTGCTTCTGCATAATCATCACACCTTACGTTTTCACTCCAAAATTGGCTTGTAATGTTTTTAAAAAGAATTACTGTTAATGATAAACTTTTAAACATAGTGGTAAGCTCCTTTAAATATGCATTTCCTATATATATATATGTATAAATATCTGATTCGGGGAAGACCGTCCTCTTCAAACCAAGCGTGCAGTTTCGGGAGGCTGCCTAGCCAGCCAGATCAGCCAAATCAACCCTGGCAATCAATGGGGTGACAGATGTGGCAGCCAGGTCACAATAGCACAGTGGTAGGGCGTTTGCTGTGCACGGGGCCAACTAGGCCGATCCAAGTTTGATTCCTCTGCCCCTCTTGGAGAGCCCAGAAAGCTACTGAGAGTATCTCGCCCGCATGGTAAAGCCTGGCAAGCTCCCGTGACATATTCGATATGCCAAACCAGTAACAAGTCTCATGATGGAGAAGTTACTGGGCCCGCTCGAGCAAATTGATAAATAATGGGCAGACAGTGCTGCAGTGCTATGTGTCTGATACTTAGTATTTGAGACATATATATATATATATATATATATATATATATATATACACACACATATATATGTATATATCAGGCAAGTGGTGGAAAACGATCTTTTTAAAAGTGGGGGCTATGGCACAAGTTTGGCCTGTGAGAGACCCAGGGTTGCTTCCTGGCACCAAGTGGCACTCGAGCACCCTGGGTGTGGCCTTGTTGCAAAGGAGTGTCCCTGGATCCCTGCCCAGCCTTCCCCTCATAACCGTCAGGTATGGTCCCAAATCCTCTTATAATTATGATCACATTTATTCTAGTTTGATGTGATCATAATTACAATAGGATTTAGGACCATATCTGATGATTATGGGGCGGGGAGGGGGCAGGGATCATCTAGTTTGATTGGCTGGAGCGATAGCACAGTAGGTGGGGCGTTTGCCTGGCACGCAGCCGACCTGAGGACTTGGACTTGATTCCTCCTCCCATCTCGGAGAGCCCAGCAAGCTACCAAGAGTATTGCACCCACACGGCAAAGCCTGACAAGCTACCCATGACATATATGATATGTCAAAAACAGTAATAAGTATCACAATGGAGACGTTACTGGTGCCCGCTCGAGCAAATTGATGAACAATGGGAGAGCAGTGTTACAGAGTTTCTTCTAGTTTGATATGGAGGACTTTTTCTGATTCTGTTTATCCTTTGTAGGTCAACTCTTGGGTTGTCCATTTTGTGAATTAGCTTCATTTTTACTTCAAAATAACTTGTTATAAAGACACAACATAGTTTTATTTTTGTATCTTCCCCAGGTGCGTGCTTATCACTGTATGATAGAAACAACAAATGTAAGCTAATTAGGAAAGGATGGTGAATATCCGTGGGCCACCCCTCCCACAGAGAAGTAGAAAAACTAAATATTTTAGCTCAAAATAATAAATGTAAAAACCCTCATTATTCTCTTGGAGGAAAGACTTCATCAAAAGAATCCATTTCTGCAAATCTTCTTGGGCCCTTTAAATTCAAATAAAAGGCAGTGAAGTATTTAAATGATTTCACTGGCTATTTTAGAAGTACATCTTACAAAATATATTTGTTCTAGCAAAAGATTTCAGTGAACATTTAGAGGTGTTGTCTTCTCTTAGATTTAAGATAATTAGTTTCCAAATTGCTATGGCCAAAAACAGCAGGTGCTGAGGGGATCAATTGTGTCATCCTCCTTAGTTCTCACCTGAAAACTGTTGCTAACACTCAACAGCACAGTAGCGTTTGATGCACTAGATATTTTATAAATACAAGGAGACTGTCAGCAGACTGGGACAAGTTTATAAGAAAGTACTTATTTAGCACTGTAGTATAAACTTCACAGAGAAGGAAGAATTTTTAAAAGTTTCTTCCATTGAATATTTGCAGTATTGCAGATTTGTGGGAGGACATTTGTGGGAGGTTTAATTTGTAAACCTATCTTTCATTGGCTTTTGTCAAAAGTCAGTCTGTTCAGTTAATGCAAATCACTTTAGGAGTTGTTAGCAACCTGCTTACCTGTCTCCACTATGCAGTATGTTGGATGTCGGATCTAAGGGGTATCCAGGCGACAATGGAGTCTCGCTCCAGCAGGTGGATGTGTATGTAATTTCTCTGAGATGTTTCCTCAGACAGCTGTGAATGTTTCCCAGAGTATGATCCACTTATACCTTGTCCTCAAAAACTACTTACCCCTATTTCTATCCAGTGAAAACCTCACCTGTTACTTCTTTTTGAATCAGTGCTTTTCAGCCTTTTTCCACCTGATTTAAATACCACTTTTGTATAAGACCAATGCTGAAAATTTTAACTATAGCGAAAAATACATACACAAAATCCCAAACTATCAGCGAACCACTTAACATTTAGACTTGTACCTATCTAACCTGGGCTGTAGTGATAACACAGCAGGTAGGGCGTTTGCCTTGCACGTGGCTGATCCAGCCAACCTGAGTTCTATTCCTCCGCCTCTCTCGGAGAGCCCGGAAAGCTACTGAGAGTATCTCGCCCACACAGCAAAGCCTGCCAAGCTACCCGTGACATATTTGATATGCCAAACACAGTAGCAACAAGTCTCACAATGGAGACATTACTGGTGCCCACTTGAGCAAATCGATGAACAAAGAAAGGATAGTGCTACAGTGCAGTGCTACCCATCTAACCTACGTTGGGCTGGAGTGATAGCACAGTGGGCAGGGCATCTGCCTTGCACATGGACAACCCAGGTTCAATTCCTCCGCTCCTCTCAGAGAGCTCGGTAAGCTACTGAGAGTATCCTGCCTGCACAGCAAAGCCTGGCAAGCTACCCGTGACATATTTGATATGCCAAAAACAGTAATGAGTTTCACAGTGGAGATGTTACTGGTGCCCGCTCGAGCAAATCGATGAACAACGGGAGACAGAGCTACAGTGCTACCCATAAAACCTATTCTGATAGTTACTGTACCTCATTTTTTTGTTTAACAAAAATTTGGCTTAGAGCCTGGCTTCTCTTTATCCAAATGCTCGTGGAGAAATTGGTTCTAAAATGTTTCTTGAATTCTGTATACCCCAGGGAGTACCCTGTCTTAACTTGCTCTTATTTTGTTGAAAGGCAGGCCTTTCCAAAATGTAGGACATTATGCCAGCAATGTATGATTTTAATGAGGGAGTTGAAGTGACAAGTAAAATCTACTGGGATTAATTTGGGAATGCTTTCAGAAAGAAGGAAGTTAAGATCTGGCACATCAAGGAAGAAGACATACTCATTCTTCAGAGTCTTCAGCACCATCCAGCTATATAATTTTCTTCACTCTGCTCAGACTGTGGCAGTTAGTGGCCATGAATGTTCTGTAAGCGCACTTGGAACCCCTCAGTTCCTGATGGACCATAACACTCGTGTTCACTGATTGAAATGAGATAACTTTGTCAGGGGTGATTTTGTTTAATACTGGAATTTACCTTTTCAACTCTTATGGAACAATAAATTCCTTAGTTGGATAGATTCTAGTTCAAGACTATGACATCTTTGTATAATATGCCTTTGAGGAGAAGAAAGAGAGAAACTCAACATACCCAGCAGAACACTTAATAGTGTAAATTTCCATTGCGAGCTCTATGCCTCACAGTTATCAAGATTCTGGAATGGTTGCTAGAGAACCTGCACAATTAACAAGTCACATTGGGGTCTTAACCCAGCAACTTGACATTGTAATATTTTCTCTGAGAAAGTGGAAAGGGCAGTTTACTTGATGCATTTGACAGGCAAAAATAACCTCAAAAGGTATGCTTTTTATTCCATAGCTTTCAGGGGTGGGATGTTAACCTGCATTTGGATTTTGGTGCCCTGATTTAGCTCCTAGAAAGTCTTTCCCAACTGTTGTGAATGAGAGATGTGCCTCTGAACACAGTTGCAGAGGACACTGCAAATAATACCTTGGTGAGGTGGAACATAGTGACCCATATTTGTACTTCTGGAAAAAGATTAATTTTCCTGAGGAGTGTATAACTGGAGGCAGAAAAAACACAAGATTGAAGGGTTT